CCTGCTTGTGGGTCTGCCTGCCTCAAATCTCTCCTCCCTCCAATCCATCCTCCACTCAGATACTAAAATGGTTTTCCTAAAACACAGTCAGTTCATGTCACCCTCCTACTCAGTGGATTCCAGTGGTTCCCTCTCACTTCCAGGATCAAATGCAAAATCCTCTGTTTGGTGTGCAAAGCCTATCCCCCCCTCCACATTTCCAGTCTTTTTGCATTCTCTCCCACCGTGTACTTTTTGATCAAGTGACAGCCTTAGTGCTGTTCCTCAAACAAGACACTCCATGGCTGAGCTCTGGGCATATTCTCTGGCTGGTTTCCATATCTGAAATGCTCTCTCCCATCTCATCTTCGTATCCTGGCTTCTTTCAAGTCCCAGCTAAAATCCCACCTTCTACAGGAAGTATTTCCCAATCTCTCTTAATTCTAGTACCTTCTTTCTTTTGTTATTTTTTGTTTATTCTGTATATTCTTTGTACATAATTTTATGTTGTTTCTCCTATTAAGTTGTGAGCTTTCTGAGGGCAGGAATTGTCTTTTGCCTTTTTTTTTTGTAGACCTGATGCTTAGTACAGTAATTGGCACATAATAAGTGCTTAATAAAAGACTAACTGAAAGTCGTGCCACTTGAGAATCCATTGAAGGAACTGAAAGAGTTTAATCTGTAGAAGAAATGACTCAGAGGAAATATGATGGCTGTCTTCAAGTTTTTGAAAAGCTACCCTGTGGGGGGGAAAAGAATTTAAATGTTCTGTCTGACCCCAGAAGGCAGAACTAGGAGTACTGAGTGGCAGTGATAGAGGGACAAGTTTAGCCTAGAGATAATCAAAATATTCTAATTACGGCTATCTCAAAGTAGAATGGGCTATCTCAGGAGGTAGTGGGATCCCTCCCTCACTGGAGGTCTTCAAGCAAAATCTTGATGACCGCTCATCAAATATATCCCTTACAAACTAAAATTATGTTATTCTTATATCTCATCAACTTTATTCTAACCATATCAATAGGCTCGTCTTCTTTGAAGACTCACAACCTCCAACTTTGAGCTAGCACTAGGCAAAATTGTGAAGTAGACCAACTTTATCTCACTTCCTCTTCAGGACTGAATTCCATCATTCATTTAGCTTAAGCATCCTCCCCCCCCAATTCCTCCCTGGCTAACCTTGTATTCAATTCCCACAGGGTTAACCCAAGGGGTAGCTAATAAGGAAGAGGTTGTCTCATAAGACTTAGCATTCATTATCTAGGGCACTTTTTTCCTTTTATAGGTTACTCTTGAGGACCTCAGACCTTCTAAACCCAAAGGAAAAAAAGCTAAAGGTGAAAGAAGAGCTCTCCTAATCCCATTTCTGATTCCTTGCAGAAAGCCTTTATGCAGTATCTTCTTTGTAAGTCTCTACTTGTACAAATAGATGACATTGGAAAAATAGTGAAGGGAGATTATTTGGCAGGGTGAGTCATGTCAGGCATCTCTCTGAAAATGTACTAGAGGGAACCATGACTACACTTTGCAGAATTTAATCCCAGTTCAGGAAACTGACCAAACTACAACCTGAGGATGAAGGCTTGGACCCCTGAAACTGGCCCTCATTGAGCACACTGAGAGTCCTATCTCTTCCTCTAAATACATAATTGCTTCTTCTATGTAACTTCTTCCCTCTCCAATGTCCCCTTCCCCTTCTACTCACAATCCCTGATTCCTTCTTGCCCTGCTGACTTGTCAGATGTCTCAGAGGCTCTTGATTGGCCGGTGATGGTATTAAACTCTGGCATTCCAGCCAAGCCAGTGAACATCTGCATCCCGAGTGATGGACAGGTGTCACTCACCTTCATCTCCCCAACCCCAATGAGCTGAGAAGCTGTCAGGGTATGAAGAGATGTATATGTTTTGGGGCTACTGTGGAGGTAGGAAAAGTAGAAGATGGGAAAGGAATGAAACAGGGAAAACAGTTTAAATGGGGATGGAAGCAGAAAGGGGTGGGAGTTGGTGGGGAGAAAAAGAAGGAACTGGAAAAATTCTGTAAGTTGAAGCTGAGGTTCCAATCAAATATTTATCAGTTAATTGATCTCTCCTGTGTCTGCCAAGCCCATTTGACAGCTCCCTCTCCTCCATTCCCTGTCGCTTCCTTTCCCATGATCTTTGTCTTTCCCTGTTTTCTTTTTCCTTCTCCCTTTGTTCCTGGTTTTTCTCTTCTTTTACATTCCTTACCACCTCCGCTTTCATAACTCTTTCCGTGGTCTCCCTTTGTGGTTTCCTCTCCCTTAACTGCATCCTCCTGACCATTCTCTGCTTCTTTCATCCTCTCTCCTTTCCCTTTCCTCACTGCACCCCAGCCTCCCTCTCTCCCTCTTACCTGCTCTTATCTTTCCTCTATTGGTTGGGAGCTGTGGGCCTGACACTTCCTCTAACATGTTTGTTAATAATAGACAAAGGGGCTTTGCAGCCCGCTTTGGAACAATGATGCTGGAGTCTCCAGTGAATGTGTGTGTGTGTGTGTGTGTGTGTGTGTGTGTGTGTGTCCCTCTTTTGTTGTTCTTGAAGTTGAATGTTGCCCCAGTTTCTCAGTCTCTAAAGATAGAGGGAAGGGATCTGCCAGCTGCACCAAAGCAAGGGGGCCAGAGGGTTTGCTCATTAGGCATACAGCTCCGTAGCTCAGAGTATCCCAGGGGTGGCCAGAGCAGAACCCTTGAGATACCAGTTTTGGAGGATTGCACAAGAAGAGCTAGAGACTCTGGCAATGCTTGAAGAATGAACAAGGTGGAGCCTCTTTCATAGGCCCACTCATAGATACCTCTGTGGGAATCCCACCCCATTTCATTTACCATGACATCCCCCTAGAGTAGGCTCCAACCCACCCAAAACAGCCTTAGACTTAGAAGATGACCCTGGAATAAGTTTCATGTTGCTGCTTCTCAAAATGCATTTGGAATAGGAATCAGATGTCAAATCTGGAAATATAGAGCCTCCTATGACCCTTCAACTCCCCCTCCAAATCACCTAAAAGTGATATCTAATAGAAATATTTTGGCTGAGTCATCTCCATCCTCTCCTGATCTTGGAAACCAAACCCCTTCTTCTGGGTTCAGTGGTTTTGGAGCAGGACCAGTCTGATGTTCCCAAATCTATGAACCAAAGGTCAAATTTCTTAGCTGCCCCAAGCATGTCTGGACTCCTTGGATAGTCCTTGGGATTCTTCAGAGTGAGCAGTTGAAGAGAGCTCCCCCATCCTGCCTTTCTCTCATCTTAAACTGTAAGACCCTAGAGATTGCAAGCCACAACGGACTTAGCCTTCAGGAATGCCTCTTGGTAATAATGATGAATCTAGATTGTTAACTCTTTGAGGGGAGAGGATATATAGTTAACTCTCATACTGCCCTTGCACAAGACCATGTACTCATTGTCATCATTATTGGAGTGAGGCCTAGAGCAGAGCTAACTTAGATAAGGGGTTGGAGAGTGGTCCCTAGACTCGATCAATCCCTGCCTTGACTATCAGAGACTTATTACCTGATCTTCTGCCCTTCCTTTTACATACTGGCCACCAATCCAGGACCAAAAATCCTCCTGTGACCACCACTACCTCTATTCTTCACACACACACACACACACACACACACACACACACACACACGCACGCACGCACGCACGCACGCACGCACACTCTTGGAGGGACAAACTTGACATTAGAGTGGGCCCTAGGTCAGAAGAGACCTGGTTGAGGATTGGGGGGAATGAGTACATACCTTACATATGCCTCACTCACCACCACCACCATTCCTGCCTCCATAAGCAGCCAGGCTCCAAGACTAGTGTTTTGACCATCAGTCAGGACCAAGGACCCAGGACATCTGCCCCCACTGACATATGAGTGTCACAAATTCACTCTATTCCAACCTTTTTCAACATTACCATTGCAACTATGAACATGCAACAGTCTGTATTACCTTATTTAGTGATCCTGAGTCATAGGCTGCCTAGTTGGTGCCCCCTTCTCTGACTACTTTTTCTGCATCTTCCTACCCATTCACATTCACCTTATCCTTTTCGTACCTCAGTCTCACTCTACCTATCTTTCCAATGTATCTGGAATCTGCTGTTCTATTGTTAGCAAGCGTATTAGTCATGTGCCTCCCCCTAGAAATCACATTGCATATTTTTTTTAATTTAATTGTCTGCATACACATTGCTTCTTTCCAATAGAACATAACCTTCCCAGGGACAGGGCCTATTTCATTTTTGCCTTTGTATCCCCAGTGCCAAGCACAACACCTGGAACATAGTAGATAATTAATAAATGCTTGTTAAATTCAATTAATAAATGCTTCGTAGGCCATAGCCCTAAAGCTGGAAGGGATCTTAGAAGTCTTCTAATCCAAGCTTTCATTTCGCAGAATAAGGAAACTGAGGCACAAGGGGACTAAGTGACTTCCTTACAGGTAGTAAGTGTCAGGTTAAAGACAATGATATTTTCTGAAATACACACACACACACACACACACACACACACACACACACACACACACATGCTATGGGATGCCTCTACAGGCTTGGAAACTCTACCACTAGAGGGACATCGTCCTCTAATGGAAAGAACACTGGGTTTGCATCCTGGCTAAGTACTCATAAACAGAATGATCTTGGGCAACTCTTTCTTGAGTCTCAGTTTCATACTCTATCAAATGGGGTTAATAGTACTAGCACTACCTATTACACAGGGTTGTTTTGAGGTCAGATTAGACAGTATATTTTAAAGTGCTTTGTAGCAGCAAAGGCTAGAACTGTCATTACTACTACTAAGAATAAAAATTTATTTATAGCAATAATAACAACAAAGGTGATGCATCAGGACTGCTGTGCCTCTGGGCAATTTCCACTGAACTAGAAGGACTCTCTTTATAGGACTGTGGAAGGGGGCACTGTCTGTACCCAAGGTGCCACCAAAATTCTAACCAGATCCCTCCTGTTGGTTTTCTCTTTTTCTTTCTCTCTCTGTCTCCCCCCAGGGTAATCAGGACACCACGGCTCCTCCTGAAGCGATGGCTCAGCCCTACCCCCAGGCCCAGTATCCCCCACCGCCACAGAACAGCATCCCCACTGAGTATGTGCCACCCCACCCTCACCCCACACAGGACTACTCGGGCCAGACCACAGTACCAGAACATGCCATGACCCTCTACACACCAGCACAGACCCACCCAGAGCAGCCAGGCACCGACGCCAGCACACAGCCCATCACTGGGACACAGACAGTACCGGTAAGAAGCCCCTGCCAGCCAGCCTCATACGTTAGAGGGCCCCAGGCATTGTCTTCCAAGGCCCCATCACTGAGGCCCATCTAGACCTTTTTTTTAAGACTTGCAGGAACCAGGAACCCACCCACCCCACCCCACCCCACCCCGCCCAGGGCATCAAAGTGACCCTGGCCTCTGAAAGAACTCAAGGCAAGGTCCATTAAGAGAAAACTGGGGTGGTGGCCACAAGCATGTGGGTGATGTGGGGAAACCAAGGGCTGGCCTGAGAAAGGCACAGCTCCTTGATGAGAAAGGGATTAGATGGGGAGGAATAATAACAGTGGGATATAGATCTCCCTGGGGAGTGGAAAGGAGGGTTCGGTAATAAGGAAGGCTTCTTTTTATAGAATATAGTGATTCCCTCCTCTCACTCCCTCAGGCCTATACACACAGAAACTCAAGGTCCCTCTGGCATGTCCTCCCACCTCAGGGTCTGGCTCCATTGGCTCCTCATCAGGGTAACAATAAAACTCAATAAGTTGTTTCTGAAGGGAGTGGCTAAAGAAGGCCATCTATTGGTTCCCTAAGCCGTCTATTCTGGCAGTTCTAAAAGGAAACTAAATCACTTTATTTCAGATGAACAGTGTCTTCAGCTGCCAGTAACCTGTTAATAGAAAGTAAGAAAAATCACCCAACCCAGAAACCCCGAGCAGCTGCTGTAACCCTGCTGAGGGGGCCCTCTCTCTGAGCTGTCTCAGGTTACTGGTTCTCCTATCATTTCTAATCACTTGTAATCTACCTGCTTGGCTGCCCTCCAATCAGATAGCTTCAATTATGTGGTTGTAATGCAGTTCCAAAGGGGAAAGTGCTGAGCCATGCAGTTTGTAGAGATTTCCTGATAATAAAGGGAGAGCTTGTTAAGGAGTAACCATCACACTGGGCCAGCCCCTGGCCCATCTCCTCTACTGGATGAGCCCCTGTCTCCCTAGCTCCTCTTATTCTGAGACAGCAGCTCTACCCCCTCCATCCCCTTACCCTTCCTTTATTTAATTCACCAGGTTTTGTTTTCCTTCGTTTGTTCACCCTCTTTCAAACCTTGGATAGAATGTTGGACATGTAGCCAGGAAGACCTGGGTTCAAATTCTACTTCTGACAGTAATTGTGCCTTCTACAATTACCTATAAAATGTTGAGCTTTAACTAGATGTTCTCAAAGGTCCCTTCCAGCTCTAAATCTGTGCTCCTATAATCCTTTCCTCTCCTTTACTCCCTTCTAATTCCAATCTCCAGTCCCTCCTGAGGCCTGGTTCTCATGCTAGCTCTTTAGTCAGTATTGTGTCTAGGGTTGGGAAGTGGAGGTGGAGACTAGGAAAGTAGGTTATTATGCTCAGCATTTCCCAGTAGTGGCAACACCTTGACTGATCAGCCTGCCCTGTCTCCATCACCTGCTGCCCTGTGTAATGGGTTTAACTCTCAGGAAGTTTCTATATTAAGAGGCTGCCCTGTCCCTACCCCTTGTGTAATGCAAAAACAAAAAAAAAAATGCACCTGGAGAGAAAGGGTGAGGGCACACTTGTCACACTCTCTCTTTCTTTTTATAGGCTCAAACCCCAGTTTTAGGGGATAGGGGCCCTTTGGTCATAATGGCCAGCAGTACCCTAATGGCTCAGAATTTCTCCAGTCCTTTGGGCTGAGGTTGGGGGGAGGAGGAGAAGCTCATCTTCTCATAAATTGATCGAGACATAATAGAGTTAAATCAAATCTTTACTAAGTGGCTGCCCTGCTGCTAAATGAATATCACAAATATACTGTCTTCAGACCTTCCTCAATATTACCATGGCAGCTGTGAAGGTGTGACAATCTATTGCCTTATGGTTTACTGCTTTACTAAGTAGTAAAGCTAGAAAGTATTGAATAAAAGTAGGTGTCAAATTTAGATGGTCAAGTGTAAGAGATGTATAGAATTGTTGGATCGTTTGACCCTATTTCACACTGACTCTCTAAGTTTGGCAAAACTCTCCTTAACTTCTTTCAGTTCTGTTCCCTTCCCAGTCTGATAGAAAAGCAGGGATTGGAGTAAGTTGTGTTTGTCAGATAGGGACGAGGGCTTGAGTAACCAACCTCAGTGCCAGGGATTCTAATACCTTTAGCCAAGGGACTATTACTCACAAAACATTTAGCAAAATCCAGGCATCCCCATTACCCACCCATAGTGAGAGATGAAGAGAAATATGTATACACTAGGAGAAGTCAGTGTGGTATAATGGATAGAGCAATAGATTTGGCATTGGGAGACCAAGGTTCAAATCCTACCCAATATATTTATGAGCTGTGCGATCAGAGCTTCAATTTTCTTATCTATAATATTGGATTATTAATGCTTACATTACCTACCTCAGAGTTGTGGTGAGGAAAGTACTCCATAAACCTTAAAATATTATATAAAATGTGAGTTATTATTGTTATTATAGGCAATATTTCCTGTCCTAATATCTGCAGAAACACACCCTACCCAAAGCTTCCCTGTGGCTTCCTTGTCCTAGAGCACAAATATTTAACCTTTTTTTCATCTAAGCCCTACCTGAAGCCAGATCAACAACTCTTGCATTTTTTCTGTTCCTCTCCATCCTTTTGGGACCCCCCTTCCTTTGGTCTTCGAAGGCCTAAATGAATGTCTCCTCTGGCTGCACAGGAACTCTATCATCTCTAGGCCATAGGTGGGAAAATCAAAGTCCAAGACTCCAAAGAGCCAACAGCAGAAGTCATTTGCCTTCCACTTCCAACAAGTAGAAACAAAATCTGTGTCAACGGGACTGCCACTGATTCAACGACAGATTATTAAAGAACTGGTTTGTGAAACTTCATTAAGCAAAGAAGTAATCACTAGGAGCCAGCATTGGTTCCCTAAGAACAAATCAGGCCAAACTTACCTCATTTCTTTGTTGATGGGTTTATCATTCTAGTAGATCAGGAAAATGGTATATCTATGTGTGGTCATTCAGTAGTTTCAGTTGTATCTGATTCTTCATGACCCCATTTGGGGTTTTCTTGTCACAGGTACTAGAGTGGTTTGCTATTTTCTTCTCTAGCTCATTTTACAGATGAGGAAACTGAGGTAAGCAGGGTTAAGTGACTTGCCCAGAGTTAAGCAGCTAGTAAATATCTAAGCCTAGCATTCTGTGCACTGCGCTACCTAGCTGCTGGTATATCTATAGGGTTTCTTCATTTAATAAAGCCTTTCCTGGTACCCTCATAGAAAATATAAGACAGTACAGGGTGAATGATAGTAGAGTTAGGTGGATATCAAACAGAAAAGTCTTCAATAGTATGGATAGTATCCTACTGTTGAATGGAAGCCTGAGCAGCTGTGACTTCATTTCCTTTTGAAAATTCACTTTCCTTTTGGTTTAATTCATTTATTTATGACATATACACACACACAAATATAACCACTTTCCTTTTTAGTTTAATTTATTATTCATGACATAGATACACACAAACATATACACGTACGCATATACATATATGTAGAGTATGTAGCTCTTTTGTAGACGTTATCAGATTTTTCAATGATACAAAGTCAGGAGGAATGATAAAATCTGGCTTCAGCATAATCATGACACATCAGAATAATGATGAAATTGAACAGGAACGATTTGGAAGTCTTATTTTGGTTCAGAAACTCAACAAACAGTTACAGGATTGCTTCAGTAACAATTCAGGTAGAAAAGACCTGTGAGTATTAGGTGATCACAACCTCAACATGACAATGTGATGTGGCTACTTAAAAAAAAAAACAAATAGGCTATATAGTGTGTCATCTGGAAACCATATCATTTTAGGAACAGCTGGAAGGACTGGAGATGTTAAGCCTGGAGAAGAGAAGATTTAGAAGGAAATTGCTATTTTCAGTACATGAAAGGCTATATGAAACAAGGAACAAGAATTTCTCTGTGACTCCAGAGAGTTGAACTTGCTGGCAATTATAAGATGTCAGGTTTCAATTCAATGTAAGGAAGAACTCTGTAATAATTAAAACTATATAATAATGAAATGGACTTTTGGGGTAGGTAGGTAGCTCCCCATCACTGGAAGTATTCAAGTTGAGGCTGGATAATCTCTTATTTGACATATTACAGAGGAGATTACTGCATTGGGTGAAAAATTGGACTAGATTAACTTTAAGATCCCTTCAACTCTAAGATTCACTTATTCTCTGATCTAGAGTCTTTCCAGTTTGGAATCAGTAGAGAATTGAATTTGCTCAGACTCTTAACTCCATGCCAGGTTCCCTCAATTTCTGGTCCTAGACTTCAGTGGCAAGTATAGACCACTTAAAATTACCCCAGACCCCATCTCGTGATGCTTCAGCCATCTCCCAACACAAAAACACAAGTTGGCCAAGACTAGCATTTAGATTAGAAAAAAGAGATTTAATGGGTATTACAAGCCATTTTTCCTCCCCTTGAGTTAAAGGACCTTTCCCTTTGAGCAGTTCATGGAAAATTGAAGAATGCTCTTCAATCCTTAAATTCTCCAAAGGCTTTCAGTCCTCTTTCTTTTGTCACACTTAAAACTATCATGGCCTGAAGTCAAGGAAAGAAACAGGGAGGAGGCTAGAGAACCAGTCACTTCTTTCTAAACCTGACTGATTGCAGTAAGTCCCTGGCCAGGGGGTAAGAAGAGGTTTTTCTCTACAACCCTTACCCACAGCACTCTTAATTCCCTGGCTGGTGTTGGAATTGAGAGGGAAGGATAGAAGGAGGTTGGAAGAATGGGAGGATAGGAGGAAGTGACTTTTCTTCAGAGCATTCATAGCAAATTGAACATTGGGATTGGAAGAACTTGATTTGAATCCTGGGTCCACTACTCACTAGCTATTCAGCCTTGAGTAAGTCGTTTAACTTCTCTGACTCTGAGTTTCCTTATCTGTAACGTGGGGATAATAATACCTACCCTTCCTATCTTCCAAAGCTATTGCAGAAAGCATTTTTAAACCCTGAAGTATTGTGTAAATGTGAGCTA